CCAGGTGCATGGTGTGGAAGGGCGTTACGCGGCAGCACTATATTCAGCAGCTTCCAAGGACAAGCAACTCGATACCATCGATAAAGATATGAAATCGTTGCAGAATGTCTATAATACCAGCTTGAAATTCAAGGTTTTTTGGATTTTATAGTTAAAGCCAGTATCAGTAAGGATTGATATAACCCATCTTCCTAGGGAATCCAGGAAATTCCTGTTCCATTAATCTCTGCTAAGCTTTTCTTAGAGGTGATTTTGCAGTATATTTATAATGTTAAGATGAAAAGGCAACGAAAATTCATAATCATGATTATTTTCGACAATCGCTACTATGATAAGATCACGCAAAATAAGCTAATATATGATAATACTGATAATCATAGTAATACCAACATCTTAGTCTTGATATTACTATAATCATCATATATCAATTTGTTCTATATTATCAACCAGTACAATGACAGTTAGAAAAATCATGATTGCTTTGCCCTGCAACAAGTTAGTGCCTTCGCAGTCTCGTATATTGTTTTGGTTGGGCGATAATCGATGCGATTCATTTGCTTGTTCTTGAAAATGTGTTGCGGGAATCGTAATCATGATTTTGTCTTGGTTATCACTACTGATTATTATAGTATAAGGGTTTATTTGACGTGATTTGTCAATGATTCAAAAGAAATCATGATTATTTAAGGTTGTCTTACAGCATGCCGCGTATTCATGCGTCCTGATAACTCCTAGCACAGTTTCTCTGACAGATGATCTGAATTTTATCGCATTTACGTGAAGGGCATCGAAAATCGTGATGATTTTTGATCGTTATAATGACTGAGATTATCAGTGTCCGTCATATACTAGTATAATTAGTTCAATGGAAATTATTAAAAAGTGATTAAGATTTTTGTAAAAAATCGTGCAAGGATATGCTGCCAGATCGCTACTGAACAATTAGTATATAAATTAGTAACCACTAGCCGTTTGAATTACTTAAATATACGTTTTTAAAAATTATATTTTTCTTTTCAACTATCTAAGCAAATTTCCCTTCTAAAAAGCCGTATTTTTTATTTCAAGTATTTAAGCCCGTATTATTGCCTCAAAAAAATTTGATTTTTGATTTCAGATGCCTGAGAACATATTGCTACTTAAAAAATGCATTTCCTACTTCAGTTATTTGAGTATATATTGTTACTTCAAAAATTATGTTTAATTTAAAATTTGTCATATTTTG